TTGTATACAATGTTTTATTGCAGTGTATATTATTTCTTATACATATGCAAAAATATCTAAAACGTATCATAGGTCAAAAAATGACTCATATAAAAAGATATAATCTAAAATGCAGAATTAGTTTTTGTGACTCATTGTCTTATGCAGAAATCAGGTGTTGAGTTGACATATTTTTGCAATGGAAGAACTCACATACGACTCTATAAAAAGTCACATTTATTAACAGAAATATTGGAAGAGGAAAAAGAACATGTTTTCTGGTCATTCCAAGTCATTCTGAATCGTTTAACTCCATTGTTAACACCAGTGTAAAAAGTATGTGTAAGTATATATTTTTTTAAAGCTCTTCCAATTTTGAAAAATTAAAAGCCATTGGTTGAGCACTTTCGCTATAATTCACAGAAAAGTGCAAAATTTTTGGTCCAATATATACTAAACCCATTTTGAAATTTTAAAATCGTGCTCGTCAGTTTTTGGTGCATTTAGCCGAACCGTTTATTAGTAATTAATTTTTTTGACGATTTTAATGAAACTTTCTACATTGTTTAAGTCATTTATGAATATCGGAAAGTCCATGCAATTTCCCTTAAGGTAAAATGCCACTTACACCTAGTTTAAAAATGTATTTATATAAATGCGATGTTTATCATAGAAGATATTAATGTCTATGCATACGTTCATCTGAATTCATTTGAATACAATACCATACGTTTATTCTTGTTATGCATTGTTTTAGCACAAAAATAAGTTAAACTAATTTCTCAGTTGCTTTAGTGAATAATAAAATTTGCTACAAAGTATCATTTTTCATTGTTTTCAATCACAATAAGTGACTAATTTATGTGAAGCAACGCAAGGTAACTGAAAACCTATTATGTAAGAAATCACCTGACGGGCGAGTGATTCACCCATCGGAGAAAGAATACATTTTTGTTATTTAAACGGAATTTTTTAATAATTAATTGTAATAACTTCACTCGTCATGAATTTCTGAGTAATGTATAATAAAGCAATAATACAATAAAAAAATTTGAGTTGTACAAATAAAGAAATTAGTCTTGGAAATGCATTGATTAAATTTCATTGAAATTAGTCTTGGAACTATAAAATGTTATCAATAGTAGGAACTGATGCAGAGAAGTTATTAATTATTTAAGGATTGTAATTCGAAGTCGATGATTAAATAAGTAAATGATTTAATACTGGATCAGAAAAAATAATGTTTGTATTTGTTTACAAAAATTGAATTATTAAAATAATTTTAGTTCCATTTTAATTAACATTTTTTGTAATGGAAAGCCGACTTATAACAGCACTCAGGCAGGTGCTCAATTTTAGTTTTGTTTTTCAAAAATTATTTGGATTGTTTTTTTCTTGTATGAAGCAAAACTTAACATTGTTTTTATTTTGTTGAATATCTATTTTGTATCTGTGTGTCTTTTCAAAAAGTAGTATTTTCATAACTCTGGAATTTTCTTTGATCTTTTCATACCTTATTATAGAAAATCCTAATTCTAATTTAACTATGCGTCGTTTCAATTGGTTTTGTATTTTTTAAGATGTATTTAGTAATTTTTACACCTGTCTTGATATGGACAACAAGTGTAGGATTACTCAAAACTATAGGATTAACAAAAAATGACTGCAAAAATACAAAATTTTCCGGCTATTGTCATTGTCAGAGATAGTGAAAATTGACGCATGTTAATTACTTTTGGTGGTTAATCTTGCTTAGTAATATTTCTCTGGCAGAACTTTCTCTAGGATGATCCTCGTAGCGGCTTTTGTAATCTTTTGAATACCTCGCCTATTGTGTTGAAAAGTGGCGTATTTTGTATTTAGCAAAAATTTTGACCATTATTGTTATTAATTTATGAATGTCATACCAATTTCAATGTGTATTATGTCAATTTCGCGTAATTTGCTTATCAGTTTTAGAAAATACGTCGCTATCGGCGTCTGCTATACATTTTCGATTAATAATTATTATCATCCTGATAAGATTGTGTAACGAGTTTTGAAAAACAGATAATGTAACAAGTACTTACATCCTTTGTTTAATTTTAAATGAGCGGTATTTTAATGTTATTGAACAGTAAGTGATCAATAATTTATAGAAAACAATTTGAGTTTGATAATAGAAGCAAAACATGATAATATACTAGGCGCAAGTGGTATTTTGTCTTAAGAAAAGTTGCATATTTTCTTCGATATGTGTATAATGAACTTAACCAGTAAGATATTTAATAATATCTTAAGATGTTCGTTAAGAGCATAAACTCTATCATCATTCAAAGCTTCAAGCAAAAAGCAGTTTTTACACGGAAATTAAGTATGCTAAGTTGTTCATAGAATTATATTTGTGGAGCCAAACGTTTTCCTTAGGATAATATTTCTAACGGTTACATGAGATATATTATAATAAATAATAACAGTACTATAAATAGTGCAGCCGGCTAATACAAAATACATCAATCGATTGATGAAGATAAAGACTGCTTCAAAGATGTTGCTAAAACCGTTTCTGGAAATTTGCCATATCGATTCTGCACGAGTACTCAGTTTGATCCAAATTTGTACGAATTTCTAGGAACGTTTATATTTACACAACATTATTGGAAAGGTAAAAAAAAACTTATCTTTGTTTCTACAGAATTTATTTTCGTGTGTGCGAACTCAATTCTTATTTTTATGGTAATAATTACATATTCTGAAAACAATGCTATCTTAAAATAAACATGGTTTTTGGGAGAATTCTGCTAAATGTACTAATGAACAAACGGCCTTTTCGATTTCGGCGGTAAAGAAATATTTATAGATATTTTCAAAAGAAATATAAATGTGTACATATATATAAAATAATTAAAAATAATGTAATAATATGAAAATAATAAATGTTGCTATCATCGAATTATATTTTTTGTGCGTTATTTTATTTTTGTTAATAAATCTATAATTTTATCATGGTGTTTTCTCAAAAAATTGTTTTACTGTTGTGAATTCTGAATTGTGAAAGCAGCATGTTTCGGTGTAAGGTGCAGTGAACTACTACGAATTATAATTAGAATCCTGCACATTTTCAAAGTTCGTTTGTACTTTCCTCGTCTCTGTCTTACTCTCTTTTTGATTTATAGACCAAGATCATAGGCCCAAAATATTCATATTTAATACAATAATCTAGAAACTATGTAACTTTTTTCTAAATATATTTAAAAATTTCAAAATGGATTTCTAACATAATACTTTATTTTCAATAACGTTAGACTCCTTGTGGTCGACTGTTTTTTTAAGAACGTGAAAGACTAGAACAATACACTTATTGAATCACAATTAATTCATTCTGCTTTCAGTCATTCTAAACTCTAACACTCTTCTCATACAATTACTCATTTTTAAATTTAATACTCTCATTGATTTGGAGCCTGCAATGACATTCTATTTGCATAATATTGTAAGTATTCAAGCATCAACAACGTAATAATTTGATTTTTTTAAATTTTATGTCATATACACAGTAGTGACCTAGGTTTTTACTTGTAAATATAGATAGCAATATGTTTCCAAGTAAAAATAGCCCTCATCCGGCATTGCTGCATCAACAAAATATTTACTCTATTGCAGAAATTGTAATAATAAAATTTATATCACAGAATTAGAACACTCTTTAGGTTGTCTTCTATAAAACTGACGTAGTATTGAGTCAAATTAGCCAAACAGCTTATAGGGTTGTTAAGTTCTGATTGTTGATCAAAACAATAAAAACTTGAAAAAATGTCTTATAAAAGATATGGACTTGAAAGCCATGAACTGGGGAATATCCTTCTTGACATAGTCATATAATTTAAATCGTAAGTGTCGCAGTTTTAAAAATATTTAGATGCAACGTTAATATATTTCTTTAAAATAAAATATTGACAAATTAATTAATTAATTAATTAAATATATATGGATTGAGCAAAATGTACACTAGCTCATTACTACTGAACTTTAACAGCATCTCTGCCGGAAACCGAGTGAGAGAGTTCAAATCTCTCCTTCACCAGAGTTGGATCCATATATACTATATAGTAGTATACATCTAAAGTGTCTAAAATTACAGACTGAGCACGTGCTACTTGCCAATGACCTCGGTCATGATATAAGAACACTTGAAAATTCACTCGTTAGAAATAATTCAATTTAATAAAATTAATTCAATGAACCAAATCAAACTTTGCATACTTGTATTTTGATTTACAAAAATGGGTTAGTAGCCTCAACTATTTTTCCTAAGTATTTCCTATCTTTTATTTGAGTATTAGTAATAGAGTATTCTGAAGTTTGGAAAACAACCTGGGAATAGTACGATTTTTTAAACACAGACTACGATTTTTTAAACATCTTCTATCGAATAGAAGTGATATTTCTTAAATTTTATAACATCGATATGGATGCTTTCTTAAAGATCCCCCGTTTCGTCAGAACTGAAACTTGATACACGAGGTGTGTTTGGGAAAAAGTTGGACTTTCAAGATTCGTGGGCAACATTTGATTATCATATTCTGAGCGATGGTTCTCTTGATCAAACTTTGTTCAGACACGTCCAAAACTGCAGGAACATGGGATCACAGTATGAAAACTGACATTGCCAATGTTTTAGCAGGATTACTCATGGAGTTCGTAATGTCCAAATGGAAAATTCGCATCTATATCTTCTTGTCAGAGTTTGAATCACTAGAAGTAATTTTTACTTATGGCATACCCATAGTGGACCTTTAGTAAACAGTGGATAAGTGGTTCGGAGCTCTTGATTTTATATAAAATTTGATGAAATTTATGAAAATATCTTCCAAAAATATTCTTGTTTATGAAGAATTATTTCTGTGGTCAGTTTTTTGAAACAGCTTATAAATTATTTTGGTTCCTTTCAGCGAAATGATTTTAACATTTTCTTAAAGCATTCTACTTATACAATAAAAATACTTTTTGTACGTTTTATTGAAAAATAAATATTTTTCCAGCTATCCGAAAATACGACGGAGCAGCAGAACGACGTGAATAGAATGGCTCAGCACAATGCCACCGCAGATATAGCATCAGTTATGGAGAATTTCAAAAATAAAAACAGCCTGGTTGCTGCCAGGCAGAACAAACTGAATGCCCTGAATTCGTTAAACCAGAGGAGTCCACAATTATCCAGCACATCTTCACAGGTAGGAAAGATAATTAGAAATTTATCATTTTTATTGCAAACTTGGATTGGTTGAAAATGCATTCTAACAAACATTATAGTTCGGATTTAAAAAGTTTAGATTCTGGGTTTTTTATATGAATCATTCCGGTCTTCTAAAATTGTCATTCAGTTTGCATTTAATTTTGTTTACTATCTTTTATGTAACAACATCGATTTATCATTCTTATTAATGAAATCGTTTTGCAAAATTGATAATGTGCAAATAATTTAAAATTTTAATAATGATCTCATCAAAACAACTAATAAGGAGTCGTATGATGTGTCTCAGCGATTCATACAATTTCAAACGAATCTAATATGAAACAACTCACAGATTTCGAATCGAATTAATGACTGCATTCTTTATTTTTCTATTACTTTTTATGGACATTGTGCAATAAGTGGTTTTAGATGTTTTTATTAGATGTATTCTATTAGTATAATGAGTCAACTAATTAATGACTTAATAAATAGAATAATATTTTCATAATCCATTGAAGTTTGTATATACACCCCGGTAATAAGGTTTTTTTTTGTTTATTTATCATTAATGAGATTCAAATAATTTAATCACTATGGTGCAATTTCTATAAAATTTGATCTCAACCTTTTGTTTTAATTTTTTTGAAAATCTTAAATTTGTAATACGTTTTGTCATTTTTTTTAAAGAAACACAAAATATGTTCAATAAATCATTTCTCTGTACTTTTTCTGGTTTTATCACATGTAACACCTACGTGACATCAACACAGCCACCCGAATTTTTACGTATGTTTTGATAAATGGCATCTGAATATATTACAATAGATATAAAATTATTCATAAATATTTAAATAAGCGTTCGATTCACAGACATATCTATTTTAAATACTCACCTTTAAAGTCATATATTTTTTACCATACTGAGAGAATCTTCTTTAGCATATTCTACTTATAGAGATTCGCTTTGCAGGGATGTATATTTTTACTTATGACTACATACATTTGTTTTTTGCATATTTTTATGATTAGAGTATGTTTCGTATTCGTATATGTATTTATGAGTAAAAATAATTTATTATTTATGAAACTTCTAGACGTTTTGCAAATATGGTTAAGACCTCATTTGTACGTGCTCGAAGAATAGAGCGCTTCTAGTAAAAAATTATCAAGTGCGACTTAATTAATTTTTAAGAGGAATCATGCAATGGTAATAAACAAACTTTATTTTTATTTTGTCTGTGCGCATTATTGAAAATAAAAAATCACGGTTTTTGAAGCGCATTTCTCATTGATTTTTTTTGTAATATATGTTCAATGGTACGTCTACAATTAATTTATAATCACTTTGATCTGAAATTTTATCATCTTACATGAAAGGGCATATTTTTTGCGTCATACGGATCCAAACGCACGGATTTTACCCGGAATCCGGATGTGAGTGAAAGGTAGACATTACGAAAGTTATTCTGGTGAAACCTCATGTAAATCGTTTCTAGAATTATAGATAAGGTCGGAGTTAATTTATCTGGTGATTTTTTAATTCTTTTTTTTACAAAAATTGTGTAAAAAGCACGTGTCTGTAATATATCTAATACTAGAAGATACCGCGAGATCTATGAGGAATCCGATGTTAATTTATTGAAAAGTGATAGTTTTAAATTGATGTACCTGCTGATAATTATGTAGATATTTCATGGTATGTCAATGGAAAATATTCGGTAAAAAACACTCCTATAATGAATAACTTATAATGAAAAATTAAAAAAAAATTTTTTTAAATATTTGTTTATTTTTTATCAACTTGTGAAGTATTTCAACAACCCACAGATACGCAGTAAGTGATCGCTTAACCTGAAATGACACGTCGTTACAGGTTACTGGGCTGACATACGCACGGTAGTTTGGGGCACGATGATCAAATGATCAAATTGCAATAACATAAGAATGAACTAAGCTTATCCCGTGCTTATCCTCAAATTGCGATATAAACTACATAAAAAATATACAGATTGTCAAGAAAGTTGTAAATTTGCTGAAATCATGCGCAATCTGGTCAGGTGCCATCTTTTAGAATTAAAAATTTTTGACTATTCTCAACTTTCTTTTTTGTTTATTCTTAAAGCATTAACTAATAATTCGTAGTAAAATATATATGTAGTGAAAATATTGTTCGCAAACTTCCAAAAATTGCATAAAATTCAAGCCTTTAGACCAGAATACCTCCTTAAAGATCTGAAAAATCAGTCTTTTCTAAGATTCAGTATTTCAATGATTATACTACATAAGTGATTTTATATTTTATAATATAAACCTAATCTGAAACTGATTTCATTCAAAATGAATTGGTCATTTGGAGATTCAAAGAATTGATATATTATTAATGTGTGAGTTATATTGTGGCATCCCTAGTAAATCAAGTGAAATTTCAAAAACTTTTTGTAAAATTACATAACAGTTACATCTTATATTCATTTAAACATTGCTAATTTGATACTAGAAAATGGAACTACAATCTTATCTCAATTTACCTCAGTAAAAAATAATTTTTTACACAACTATTACTAATTTAATGCCTTCAAAATTATTCTCTATTTAATAATATATCAAATAGCTAAAACGTGCGTTAAAAAAAATTCTCTATATTAGAGATGTAGATTTGAAGAAATTGTAAAAAAGTTACAATCAGTCACGAATTAAGTATTTATGGATTATTTAATATCTTTCCTATTTCGAATTCCCTTTATTCATCATTACTCATTCGGTGCTACAAACTGTATTTTACAAATAATTCTCTATTTACCATATTAAAAAGTTGAATGCATCGTCCATTTGATTACCGTACGTTTAAAGATTTCTATGAATGATTCAATGAGTCATTCATATTCTTGGGAAAACGCAAATCCGGCTAGACGCGTTATTTTCTGTATTATATGTGCTTCGCGTATTATGCCAGTGTGAAACATGTTTTCAGTCCGAAGCAATCAATCGTGGCTTTTTATCAATGGACTTATTTCTTTTCGGAAGAAGAAAAAAACGGTTCGAAAAAATACCGATGACTAATTTCAGTAGTGATCTAAGAAAGATTGAATTTTAAGATATGCAGTAAAATAATGGAAATTCTTAGTTGTTGGATATTACGTTTTCGCGAAGAGAATATATGTTTATTTTTATAATATGTAATAATACATATGTGTGAGAGTTTTTTAAACGAGATAAATTTGTAGTTCCATTTTCTAGTATCAAATTAGCAATGTTTAAATGAATATAAGATGTAACTGTTATGTAATTTTACAAAAAGTTTTTGAAATTTCATTTGATTCACTAGGGATGCCACAATATATTCACACGTTAATAATATATCAATTCTTTGAATCTCCAAATGACCAAATTCAATTTAAATGAAATCAGTTTCGGATTAGGTTCCAAAACATTTATATGTGGGATGCTTTACAGTGGGTAAACCGTCCATATGTTTTGTGTTGCCCCTACTCCTTACATACTATATATTTACACATTCACAATTCGTTAGTTATTTTTACTACGAATACTAAACATTTTCTAGAAATATTTTTTATGGTTAAACAACGTTTGTGGGTCAGCTAGTATATATATATATATATATATGTATATATATATATATACATTTATTGTTTGTATGTGTCCATTCTTATATTTTTCTTTTGACAATTGTTTGATTCCTTTAATTCCAAATACAATTATTGATTCAATATAATCGCAATAAGCCTTATTTGCAACCTGGGTGTAAGTAATTGAGATATGCAAATATAAACTTATCGTTTTGTTCGTATTTATTATCTGGTCATAATAGGGTTCATACGAGTTCATTTCAGAAATGATGTATGCTCTTTATCTAGAATTTGACACCTCTCTTTGTTTACAGGCGCTAAAATATTTTGATACCAAATTAGGAAGTAAATTAGTAAACATATGGTGGATATAATAACGGACTCGTAACTAATTAAAATCAGTTGTTAAATTATAGTTATTCGAATAGTGCAAAAGCGAAAGTATTCTTAAGGTTGTGACTAGAAGATTTTTATTTGAAGTTATTGAGTCGATTACTACTTCAATTAAATTCCAGTAAATTCAAACTATATTTTGTGGAACCTGATACAAAATGCATATGCTGGTAAATATTGATTTAATAAGGCGCTTTTATACTATGTTATCAATATCTAAACAAACAATAAAAATTTAGTTAATTTTACACATGGCAAAATTCTTTTAGTGTATATAAAGAGACTTTGGAAAAGCTCATAATATCTTAATTTTAAATTATATTATTCAAAGTCCTAACGACTAATATGAAATGGAAAGTTATATTGTGGTTCTCTATTAATTTAGACATTTTTATTTATTTATTAATATTTTTGTATTAATAATTAATATTTACTTATTGCCCTTTTTAATTTTATTAAATTCAAGGAGTCGCTTCTAAATAATATTAGTTAATTTATATTTTTTACTATGTATTTGGTTTTAAAATTTATTTCAACCAAAATAATAATTAAATTTTGATTTTTTATTGTTAGATCTACGATTTTCTGAATAATATAATAAAAGTATATTTGTACTAGTATATTTAACTAGTACTTTACAATTTCAATTTTGAAGTAATACTTTAGTACTATTAGTAATACGTCGTAAGCTATCTTTAAAATTGTTTTTTGAAAACATTTTAAAATGGTTCCGGCAATCAATAGGGTATATAAAATAAAATACTTGGAATTCCTACGGTCGTAAATACTTCTGTCAATTTTAACCTGGTGTTTTCGAAACTGCTTAGATGTGCCTATATATAAAGAAGATTTATAACAGGTGTATTTTGCAATATGTTACGTTGATTTATATTATTAAAAAAATATTTTTATTTTTCCTAATTTAAAGATTTACGTTAATTTTGTAAAAATGTTAATGTGCAATTAGTTCAATCAATTAATTAAAATTATATTAAATATGTGAAATGAAATAAATAACGAACGAAAATAAAATCAAATAAGTCTAAAAAAGTTAATCAAGATTTGTTTATTATTTAAATTAATCTATTTAAAATTGTATGGCTTCCCAAAATAAATCGTTATAAAATTTTATTACCTTCTACATTAAATGAAATTTCTCGGCTAATTGACGCAAAAAGGACGTGCTCAAGGCGACCTTGCATCAAAATTTATAAAATGCTTTTAGTTGCCGAAATTCGGCGGATGTAGTTATTATTAGCACGACTAAAAAATTGCGGCAGGAAGCAATAAAAATTGACGTAATATACAAAGCCTTTTCTTGATGAAGAATTGAAGAAAAATTATTTAATGTCAAAAAATATTATTTAGTGCAATGTAAGTTTATGATGAAAAAATTTAACAATTACCCATAATTCACGTAGTTTTGATACAATATGTATTTTAAATTAATTATAAGAGTTGCATTATGGTTATTAAGCCATGTATTATTATAACTAGCTATATGCTCATCAAAGAATCTAAATAAAGAGACTGTGGCACACCTTTTTATTGTTGCGAAACTGAAGTACTGGAAAATCTATGAAGCGCCAACACTTCAAACATTATACATACTAGTTATTTCTATGTATTGTTACTTATGCAAATATCACAACATGTATAAATAAAGACGCCATTAAATTCTTCACGTAGACCCACTACAAATGTTTTAATTGCAAATTAAGGGCCGGCAACTATTTAGAAATAATATTTATCACCTAGTTTCATGCATGTGAATGGAATTTCTCGAACCCATAATTGACGAAAAAATATATATAATTTTTTATTTAGTTAATAACTTAATTGTTCTGACCTTTATATCTGTAATTATTATCTCTATATATCGGTATCCTATTAATTTATTTACTTAAACATGTTAATGTGATATCGAGCAATTAAAAGAGTTGTAAATATAATGCGACATGACCGTTTTGTATCGTTGTGCCGATTCTACAATAACTTCTAAGAAACATTATCTTTGTATACTAATAAAGAACATGTGGTTTGAATTTAGTCGGCACATCCGTGTTGTTACATATTTACATATACATTAATAAGAGTATACATTACTTTAATACATTATTAATTAATTACAATTACATTATTTAAAACATTGTTAATGTTAATTGTAAATAATATTTGATAGTTTGAATCGAAAAATGAATAGAATTGAAATGAATGAACAAACTTTATCCAAGCATTATCCTTAAATATTTATGGAAAAGGTAAATGTTATATGAAATTATTATCACCCGCATCCCATTTATAACCGGTAGGCGAAGTAGACGTTTAACCTAAGATGACGCTTAGTTTTAGGTTAACGAGCAAGCGGCCGTACCGTCTTGTGCGGGACACATTATTCAATCATTGATTTCAATTAATTATTGAATATTATACATTTTCGCTATTTCTAAGCTTAGGCATTGAATTGATTTTAATGTGATATTGGGAAACATGAAATAAAAACTATTTGCTTCC